AAAGGGTCTGGTCCAGAATGTCAGTGTCCCTGAGGCTGAGAAAGTGCCTCAAGCAGATTCTGTAAATTATGTTAATTTTGTAATGTTAACGTGCTGGATGGCTAAGAGGAATCCTTTGTAAAATAAAATTTCTTTCATTATTTATGTATTCTTACAGGGGTAACCAATTCTGTGCTGATACTGTTTCTCCAAAATCACATGGATAAATGTAATTTACTTGTCTTATTAAATGAATACATTTCGGGTTTCCCTTTTCATTTCCTTTTTTTTTTTTTTTGAATTCCTCAAAGATAATTTTGAAGCTCAAAACCTTATTAGTGTAACCTTTTTGCCTACCTTCATTGAGTGAGTGTCTTTGAATTTTGCATTTTACAGCTGAATATAATTCATTATATTGAGTAAGTTGGGAGACTAGAGAAATCATTAGTTTAGTATTATAATTTAAGAAAGAAAAAGATACCTGAAGTACGAAGTTGGCTTATGTATAATTGATTGTATTTTTCTCAGTCTGCAGCAGAATAACGATTTGAAATGCTTTTTTTTTTAACCTCTAGAGCTGTATTTCTTTCTGTATATTTTTTCCACATCTCAATTTGGTTTGAAATGTAAATGATCTTGGGTTCTACAGTAGTACTTAAAAAAAAAAAAGAAAAGGAAGAAAAAGCTACCATTTTTGTTTTTTCCGTAATGGAATTATATATAACCTGACAAGGAATATCTTTTAGTAGTATTTACCTTCAAAAACACAATTATATTTTATTTAAATAGCGATATAGAATTAAAATAATAAAAACGAGTTACAGGAACCTCTTGGGTATCACTTGTCAGGCACACTTTGATCTTCTAGATCAGTGGCTAAAATTGTCATCATTACTGGCTCTCAGCAGTGACAAGAAAGGAAAAGAATGCCTTGTCTTTCTTTTAATGTTTGATTTTCATAAACCTTGAATAGAAGATAATTAAGAATAATACCAGCTTTTATAACATAATATACAAATTATACTTTTTTTGCCAACAAAATAAAGTTTGCAAATAGATTTGAAGAAATAAAGTTGTCTCAATGAACTTAATTGAGTTCGTTTGAATGGGTCTTCGTCTGTATTTCATATCATCATCAACACCCTTTTCTTGAGAGAAAAAAAGAGTCATGCTGTCCTTTTAGTTCCTTAATTTCTTTTTTTTGCCCAATTACCTTCGTTTGTAGGACAAAATTAATATTTCCAGCGTTTAAAACATTTTTTGGAGCAGTCGAACAGCTGGTGAGTCTAGGAAAGAATTCATCACAGTCAATTGCTTGTTACAGTGGGTTTCTGAAGAATACCTTTGACTAAAAGATGCAGTTTTCAACCTGTTATAAAATTTTTCTCTTCATTTCTGTTTCAAATGTTTAAAAACTCTAACATATCTCATTTGACATTATATTTAGGTTCTTCAAGCTGTTCTGATGAAGCACATTATTTAGTTCCACCGTTTCTGCCTTTTCTAACCCGGCCCGTGTCTTCTTTTTTAGTTTTGGGGGTCGGGAATGTAACGCTAGTTTTATTTTTTAGATTAAGCGGCGCATTCCCATTTGCACAGAATCTTAAAAGGCCATGCGAGAACCCCCAACTACCTACTTCTTTTGTATCTTTCTTGATTGTTTTCTTTGTGTTATTTAATGTTTGCACATTTTATACACTTCTTTGCATCTTTTTAAAATGATAATAATTTTAGTGCTGTCGGCATTATATAAGTGACATACGATATAATGTCACTATATAAGTGACATATGATATAATGTCACTATATAAGTGACATGTGATATAATGAGATACGTTTTAACACGTGCGCGCACCCATGCGTCTGTCACCGCGGTCGTCACCTCCGAGCACCGCCTCTGCAGTTGCCCCCTCCCATTTCCGCCTATACCCCCAGATCCGGGCAGCCACTGATCTTCGTGTGTCATTATACATTTTTTCCCATTTTCTAGAATTTTATATGCGTGGAGTCATTCAGGATGAACTCTTTCTTTGACATTTCGTTATTTTTTGACTCATTTATGTGTCTCTTTATTGCTGAGAAGTGTTCCATTTTACGGTATGTAGTAGTATAGGTGTCTCTCTCTCTCTGTGTGATCTATATATCTATATGTCTCTGTCTTTGATTCTTGCTAATATTTGGCCTTTGACTTGGATTCCTGACACAGGGACAGCTGACTTTTGTGGGGTTCTCTTCTGACTGTGGCCACTGGCGTTGCCAGGTTGCTGGCTTCTTCAGCTCTAAGTCTGGGACATAGGAGGCAAGAAGAAACCCCAAAGAAATGTCCAGCAAGTCATTCCTCAGGCCCAGAGGTGCCTAGACGTTCTGCTGTCTCCTTGCCACCTTTCAGAGTCTTTTACTTTTGTGTTACGTGTGACATCCAGAGTTTTTAGTTGTACTTTTCAGGAGGAATAGGACCAAGTATGTCTACCCACCTTCCTAAAAGTGAAAGTCATACCTTTTTCTTTTAAAACCATAGGTCTTAGGGACCGTTTCATATTAGTACGTAACTTGCATACTTACTCTTTTATGAACGTACCATACATTTTTAACCAGTCCCCTAAGCTTCTTCCTTTTGCTGTTATAAACAGTGCCGTAGTGAATGACACATGTATGTACTCCTTTGGGGGTGCGCCGGTCTAGCTGGAAGATGACTTCGTATCTCATCCGTGTCTTCTCAGAGCGCGGTGTGTTCATTCGGTGGAAGAGTCCCGCTCTCCTGAAAGAAAGCGCGTGTTTCATTTCAGGAAGATCTAACTGTGCAAGTCACTCCTCGTCTGACGTGTGCCTTTATCTGCTTTCCTACAGCTTCCCTCATTGATTCTAGTTCCGAACTGGGGATGGAGATAGGACTAACCCAGCCCCTCTTCCTCACAGCAACCCAGAGGTATTCAGGGATGAGTATCTTTGACACCTCTGTCTTCTGTTCTCCAGCCTAAACCGTTGGGGTCATTTTAGTCATTTTAGACATTTTTCCTGTGGCGTGGTTTTCAGTATCCTGGGAGATGCCTTCGTACTTGGACATCTAGAGAACAGGGCTCTGTAGTGTGGGCTAATGGTTGCTACGGTGACAGAAATTTGGGGGACAGCCTTGTCACAGTCAGAATTACATTTCCAGAGATCTGTAGGCCTTCCTCGCGTTGGGTAGGTAGTATTTTCTGACTGAGCAAATGAACTAATGAATACTGAGCATACGCTTGACCTAAATCCCCACCGTTGTCCACACGTACTTATTCTGACTCTACACTTGTGTGGTTGATTTGGGGGACATACGGCAGGTCTTTACGTTTGTCCCTGTTAGCCTTTATGTCGTTAGAGCTAGACAGTTTTCCAACATGGTCAGATCATTTTGGGTATTAATTCTGTCCTTTCATGTATTTTCAATATCGAGTCATCTGTAAATTTTTCCTTTGTGCCATCAATAAATGTATCTGAATATTTAAATGAGATATATTTTGTTCAGATTCATAATATCTTTTAAAAATAAGCTGGCTTCCCAGAAGCAGAGTCGCTGGGTCAGTGAGGATGTGGTTTTACATTTTGATGGATGATGTTCATGGCCTTGCACGGAGGTCGATCGTCAGTCTGCCTCATCCCGAATGCTGTCTGTGCAGGCTGCACTCCTGGTCCCATGGGACGTTAGAGCTCAAAGAAGGTTCTCTGGAAGTGCTAGGTCTCAGTATGCAACTCTGATGATATCGGGTGGGACCTTCCTGCATTTCTTCAATGATTTTTAATACAAAATTGTCTGATGTACCGCTTAACATCATCAGCCACAAGGGCGTAATTCAAAGCCAGATGAGAATTTGTTATCCACAGAGAAATCTACTGAAGAAAACACACGTTACTTGGGTAGAATGAGGTATTATAAAACCCGAGACCAAACATACTATACACAGCAAAAATCTCTATAAAGCAGAACTACTGATCAAAATAAATACTTTCCTTATATTTCAGACAATTTTGTATTAAAAATTATCTATTTTTTTCTTTCTAGTCTCAAAAAGTCACTGTGGGTGATACCGTGTTTGCTGACAAACAGCTCTGTCAGGCACGGCTCCTAAATGTCACGTTGGAGTCCACAGATGTGTCGTTGAACTTCCCAGGGGAAAACTTGCCAGGCTGACTTTTCTGCAGTTTGCCTGATCAGTATTTGTGAATATCTCATGAAAATCACTAGCCTTTAAGGTTTCGAGTGGTCTTCGTATCAACGAGTTTGCCAAACTTATTACACCTGATTCCAAAAAGAAGTTTCCAGTGTTTTCTTCAGAAATATTCCTGATACTTGTCTACAGTTCTCTGCATCATTAATCAGTGTGTAGTTCTCTGTCTTTCCTGTTTACGTGTATTCGTATCCACGTTTGTGTTAACATTACTATGTTTTTAAAAGCCGATATATATTCTTAACTAGACTTTTTCTAAACTGTGTTCCACGAATGATATTAATCTCAGATGCTAAGTAGACCAATACAAAAAATGTCATCAGATGAGTTCCCGTAGCACTTCCCACTAGGCGAGTCACACCGCGCATTAGCCAGTTAAGGTCCCTGTGTAATGCTGCAAACATGTCTGCTTATCTTTGTTTATCTCAGCATCTTCTAGAAATATCTGAGTGTGACACTGCAGAACATACAGGAGTGTTTTGGGGATACCAATTTGGGAAATCCTGCGAAAAGATGAGTAAGGTTTTCTTGGTAATGTTTTAACACATCAAATAAAATTGAAAGTGATTAGATTTTCAAGAAGTTAATGCATTTAGCTGAATTGTATTTGGGGTGTATTATCTTGTAGAAATCACATTTTGAAAGATAGCGTTGTTTCTGATATTTTTGATGGCCTTTAAGAATTTGTAAAATTATTGTGAAAATGCTTTTTTGCTGGAAAGAGATTTTCGTTGTTACTGATATCATCATTATTTGCTCAAATGTTTTTCTTCTATAAGAATTTGCTTTTATCTTTAAAGAACATGTTTACTGTTTCAGATAGCGTGACACAGGAAAGGAGGCCTCCCAAACTTGCCTTTATGTCAAGAGGTGTTGGAGACAAAGGTTCATCCGGTCATAATAAACCAAAGGTTACAGGTATGGATTCATTAAAACACAGTTCTTACTTATAACGTGATAGCCAATTTGCCACAGCATTGAAAAATGTTAAAAGGCATTACGACTTAATGTATGTATAGACTTAATTCTTTCAAACGTTTTTAGAAGTTTGCTAAAATTTTTTTATAGGTGGTGTGGATTAAGCCAAGAGTTCCCAGCCTTTTCTAGTTGATGAAGTTTCTGGTGAGGACCTGTGTCTTTGCTGGTCCATATCAGCTGGTTTTTGGAACTTCCTGCTCGTAACATTTGTATATTGTTCAGAGTTGCAATTGTATAAAATAATCATATATGGATAATGTCATATAGGATAAATTGTACTAGAGATTAATTGTGGATTCCGTTAACTAGATGTGGCACAAATTAAATTCTAAACCACTAAGTAAAAATTTTTGTCTCTCTTCCAGAAATCTCCTCCAAAATAGATATGGAGTTCTTAGCTCTTTTTTCTTTAGCTTCTGCATATTTCATAAATTTATAGGGTGGTAGTTATACAAGCTAAACAGCTCATTTAAAAAGTAAGAATTTTTGTTAACTCAGATATGGGTTCGGAGGAGAATATATTTTTTACAGTCATCTAGTTAACAAAACTATTTTGGCTCATCTAAAAGGGAACTGTACTTTAAGAAACATTTTATGTGATGTTAGACCCTGGGAGACTTAGAATTAAATAAATTATATAGCTAATTGTAATTTTTATGTTCTACTTTCATTTAAATATAAATTTTAAGTATAAAGATTTTCTTAAGAGGTTTGTTATATTGCAGTAGATCTTAGTTATAGGTATAAAGTATAGAGCTATCTGCTTTAAACTGAAAGAAAAATGAGATTTTGTATGGGTTCTGGAGACCCCAGTGGTCTCATCTATAGGGTAATGTCATAAAATGTCTGTGACGTAGTGACACTAATTCATTCTTACATTTAATAAATCTAATATATGAGAAACAATACTGCTTTACGCTCTCAGAGACATGGAGAACATCAAATTCCTTGATGTTGATCATCATCAAGGAATTTGATCATCAACAATCTCAAATGCTTAAACCTTAATTTTTTAAAACTTAATTTGTTTATTGTTTATTGATCTTCAACATTTGAAGATTACCTCCTTCTGAAAACAACGATTTTAAAATAATAGGTTAAATTTGTGAACCAGCAGGTTCATCGAATGAAATTGAGGGATGGTGGTTCTGATGTTGGGAAATTAGCCGTGGTATATGAAATGATTTTTTAAAGCAGTTTTTTTGTTTTTTTTTTTTTTAAATAGAGCAGGCTTTTCTTTTAACTCACTCCCGTTCCCTTCCTATATTGACTCTTAAGTGGAAGAGTCTTTCTGACATTGCCAAACGGTCACCAGATTTTTTAAAGTGAAAGACACTAGGAAGACAGAGCATGCCTGCGTGCGTCCGTTGGTCATGTAGATGGTTGTTAACGCCATGCGCGTGCTGCTTTCTCTTATAGAAAAACTTTCCCACCACACCGACTTTATTTTTTAAAGGAATGTTTCTTGTTCCATAGGATCTACCTCAGACCCTGGAAATAGAAACAGATCTGAATTATTTTATACCTTAAATGGGTCTTCTGTTGACTCACAGCCGCAATCCAAATCAAAAAATGCATGGCACATTGACGAAGGTAATCTCTCATTGTCGTGTCTTTGTAGTGATCTTCTCCTTCTAACTCATCAGAGAAAACTGGCTTTTTCTCCAATACACGTAGTTTGGGGAGACAGAATTAGAATAGACCGTTCTTTATTAATATTACTAAGCCGAAACAGTGCACACAGTTTGAACTGCACCGCTAAGGTTAAGGAAACGTTCAAAAATGTATTATCAGCTTGTTCTCTCCCCTTCACTGATTTGTCGAGGTCGGAAGATCTCGAGAACCAATTAAAACATTTAAAGACTTTTCAGTCCGGGTCTCTCTTTATCTCTTTAAAACTCTCCCTTTCTTAAAACTCTACCTTCCTGTGGTTCTGGACACCGTTTTCTTCTAGTTTGTTCTTTCCTTTGTTCTTCTGTTCAGCAGATATTTTTTTACCTGCTTACTGTGCGCCATTCATCTAGGCACCGAGGTTACAGAGGCGAGGAAAACGCACGTGGTCCTTGCCCTTTCCGAGCTTACGATCGAGTTGTCACAGCAGACGGTGATCGAACTGTCTGTCACCGGAACGGATGTTGAATCGCAATCGTGACGAGGGCAAGGAGGCACAGGGTGCTGTGACAGTGTAGTAAAGGGTGCTTTCCCCTAGGGGCGCCCAAGGGTGTTTCTCTGAGGGAGGGATGTGAGCTTAGACCAACCAGCCGAGTGGTGGGTCAAGGGAAAGGGGACAGGAGGACCGTTTAGGCGGAGGGAATAACACATGTAAACGTCTTGTGGGAACATGGAGCCTGGTGTTTGCTAAGGACTAAAAAGAGCCAGAACAGAGAGAGACGCATAACAGTTTACGAAAAAGGCAGACAGGGCCAGGGCATGTGGTGTCTGGTGACCCCGTTACAAGGAAACGGAAAGCCACTGAAGTCTTTTCAGCAAGGGGTGACACGACCAGGTTCCCTTTTGAAAAGATCGTCCTGGCTGCAGGGCGGACAGTGGACTGAGATGGGGAGAGGGGAGGCCAGGACGCTGCGGGGGGCTGTCGAGGGGCTAAGGACTGGATTGTCATCACCGGGGCTACGCTGGTTGGGGAAGAGGTGCAAGGTGGATGGCTGCGAGCTGCTGAGGGGCGAATCGATGGACAGTGAGAGCTGAGAAAGGGCACTGAGGACCCCTCGTTTTCCGGCTCGCGTACTGAGATGACCGTGGAGGAGGGTGACAAACCGCTTCTGAACACGTTCAGCTCCAGGGCCCTGTACACTTCCGAGAGGCCATTTGTCAAGTCGGCGGTTGGATGTGCAGATGCGGGGCTCAGCAGTGAGCTGCGAGCTGGAGAAATAAACTCGTAGGTTGCCTTCACATGTGTGGTGATTGAAGCCCCGTGAATATTGTCACCTCAGGAGAGAGTGGGGATCTCACACGTGTCTAGGGAGTATGGCTAGGAGCCGAGTGACTGGGTCATGGGATCTCTACATCTTCCCTGTCCTGAGGGATGCCGGCTGGGTCCCAGGGTGGTCACACCATTTACATGCCGTCAGCCCTGTGGAAGGGTGTCGCTTGCTCCTCGTCCTTACCAGCAGTTAACGTTCTAGGACCATGACTTTCGAAACGATATCCACGTTGGTTTTGACTTTCTTTTATCTGTTTACCAGTGAGCGCAAGAATCCTTTCATTGATTTCTTGGTGATTTAGATTTCTTCTTTGGTCAGTTGCCTTTCAAGTCTTTTGTTCGTTTTTTTTCCTAGATTTTTTTTTTTTCTTCCTGATTTATAGACCTTTTTCAAATTACAATCCTTTGTCAGGTATAAGGATTGATGGTAATTTCTCCTTGTTTTTGATTCATATTTTCACTCTCGTGATGTCTTTTAATGAACCGGTAGCTCTTAATTTTAATGTGGCTATAGTTACTCCTTTCCTTTATGGTTTGTCTACTTCTGTTTAAGAAATTTCTCTCTATCCTAAAGTCATAGAGAACATTCTTCTGTGTTGTCTTCCAAAAATTTATAATTTTACCTTTCTCATTTGTCTTTAAGGCACCTGGAAATGATTTTTTGGTAGAATATCAGTAGGAGTCCAATTTAATTTAAAAAATATGGATAACTGGTTAAGTCAGCACTATTTATTAAGAAGTTCATTCCCTCTCTGTTTATCTGTATTGCCCACCGGGCAACTGCGTTCGTCAGTTTTAACGAAACAGCTTTTGGCTTTGGTTCTCTTCGTTGTACGTTTGTTTTCTCTTTCATTCATTTCTATTTTTGTGTTTATTCTTTCCTCTTGATTCCATTTTTGTTCTCTCTTCTTAAATTGTATGCTGAGTTCATTAATATTACCTTTTTTTGAAATAAACTATTAGGTCTTACATTTCCTTTATAAGTATTACTTCAGCCGCGTTCCTCAGTGTTAATTATTTCCTTCTCTCTGTTTTTATTTTCTTCTTTGTTTAAAAAATTCTTTCTTTTTCGACCCATTTGTTATTTAGAAGCATCTGTCTTAATTTTTTTTTTGCTACCTTTTTGTACTGATTTCTAACAATCGTATTATAGATAATATGTAACCTATATACTACCCATCGAGAATAGCTGTTTTTTGGTTTGAATAGTCGGGTGTCATTTACTGAGGCAGAAACTTTGGAGGTAGCGGGGAGAAGCAGGAGCACTGTTTGGAGACGCTGAGTTCGCGAAGCTTCGAGAATCCTACCGGGGGGCAGGTAGGCAGGTGGACTCCATGTGTATATTAATTTTTACAGACGTAGGGCATGCTTAATGCTCTTGAGCACACTTCTCTAATTAAGAATGATTTTTTTACAGTTGCTGAGGACCCTGCAAAATCACTGACGGAGCTGTCTCCAGATTTCGGACAAGCTTCGCCACCACTGCAGCCCCCTTCCATGAACTCGTCGTCCAGTGAAAACCGGTTTCACTCTTTACCGTTCAGCCTGACGAAGGTGCCCAGTACCAATGGGAGTATCGGCCACAGCCCGCTCTCGCTGTCCGTGCAGTCTGTGATGGGAGAGCTGAACAGCGCCCCTGTCCAGGAGAGCCCCCCCTTAGCCTTGACTTCCGGTAGCTCACACGGTCTGGAAGTGGGCTCGCTGGCCGAGGTGAAGGAGAACCCACCTTTCTATGGGGTGATCCGGTGGATCGGTCAGCCACCAGGACTCAACGAGGTCCTAGCTGGACTGGAGCTGGTAATTTAATTCGACCTACAAATTGCGGTTCTTTTCTATATCTGGTTTTGCATGGATTTTTTTTTTTTCCCCCGTTTTGGCGAAATGTTTTATTTGTCATAAAAGCCATCACTAGAGAAAAATTCGATTACCGTGTTTCCTGACTTCTTTTGCCACCGATTGAGTCTCTGATCCACTTGTTCCAAAGTGGGAGTTGATCTGTGTCCAAGGAATGAAAACTAGATTTTTAGGTTAATATGTTTAGACTCGTTATATTAAGTAGACTACAGTAAGGAAAGCAAATCCGTGACCAGCTTTTGTTTTTCGTCCTCAGTGTCCCTCCCCCATTCATCACTGGCTTTAAGATTAATCACCGGTTTTAGAAATCTTTAGGTATCTTTGGTAGAGGGAAAGATTTTCCCTTTGGACATTAGGAAAGGCATATTGTTTCACATTTCATAATCAGGAGAAGAGAATTTGAGTACATTTAGCTTTTATTTAAATACATTTCTTGAGTTTTGTTGTTTGTTTGCATGCTAGCGAATGCTCTCTCTCTTTTTGGGTTGTAAAAATAAATAGCTCCTTTTCCTCCCTCCCCCCACCCGTTTTCCAGTTTTAATCCTTGTGGAAACGGTGCAGGAAAGTCAGTTAACCAAGGGAGGAGTGAGCATGTACTCCGAAGGAAGTACACTGAGGGCTCCAAACGAGATAAAGGCATTAATGTCTTAAGTCATCAGCTGGGCCCGAAACAGTGATTAGACAACCCCCCTCCCCCTGACGGAGTCCTCAGTGACCTGAGAATTCAGAGAAAGGGCAAACCCGAACCACAAACCTCCGTTCGTTGTGTGCTGTCTTTGCGAGAAGCGGAGTAACGCATGTGGGCGCATCTCTTCATCAGGAGGACGAGTGTGCCGGCTGCACGGACGGGACCTTCCGGGGCACCCGCTATTTCACCTGCGCCCTGAAGAAGGCGCTGTTTGTCAAACTGAAGAGCTGCAGGCCCGACTCGAGGTTCGCCTCGCTGCAGCCCGTCTCCAACCAGATCGAGCGCTGCAACTCCTTAGGTATCCGCACGCCTTCCCTCCGCGCCCCTCGGGGTGACTCCAGTTCCGATCTCATGCCATTTGGCAGTCGGTGGCAGTGCCAGGGTTTAAATTTGTTTCTTGCCAGTTGGTTCATCGAGCTTTTAAATCATAAAGGTTCTTACTTGGTGTATAAGAAAGTGAAGAGTTATCCTGAGAGGGAACATTAAAAAAAAGTGTCAGGAAACGTCCTTGAGACTTAAATAGTGAAAAATAGTGGGATGTTTTTCTCTCTTCCTGTTAATTACAGACACTTAATTTTCAGCGGCGCAGGAGGTAGAGATTGAAACGGGGCTTTCTTGTTGGCACTGTCCTTCCCGTTCGTGTATTGTGCAAGTTCATCAATCAGCACATTTAATCAAGGTGTTGGCATTCGGCATCATTGTAAGAGGTGGTTTTAGATTGCTTGACGGAGGATGCTCTCCTCATCAGCTGTGATAGGTGGCGGTTTCCTGACACTGTCCCCTGCCAGTTTGGGTGATAGCAGTGAAAGTGGCGGCCATTTTTTTGGCAGGATGTAAATAGGAAAACCATCCTCACGGAAAGCACTTTTCATTACAGTTAAAATAGTGGAGTTTTTCGTTTTCTTTTCCAACTTGAAAATGAAGCATCTTCAAACAATAAAATATTTTACTTGGCAGATGCTTTTTTAACATACTATGAAGTGTGTTTAAATTGGGAAGGAAGTGAGGTTGAAAATGAACAGTAGCCAAAGCTGTTCTTTACAAGCCAAGCTGACTAACAATTAACCAAAAACTCACCTTTCACTTACCTTTAAGTTGAGAAATGAATTTTGCAGCAAAATGCAAAAATGTATAAATTTTTGAGTGAAGAAATACGTGGAAATACATACCGTGATTATTTAAAAGAATTGCTATTTTTATTTATTTTTCTTTTCAGCCTTTGGAGGCTACTTAAGTGAAGTAGTAGAAGAAAATACTCCTCCAAAAATGGAAAAAGAGGGGTTAGAGATAATGATTGGAAAGAAGAAAGGGATCCAGGGCCATTACAACTCTTGTTACTTGGACTCGACCTTATTCTGGTAAGATTAAAATCAGCGCAGGAGGAGCATGCTGCCACCTGCCCTCATGGTCATGCTTCTTATTGTTAGTCCGATCGGCATGGTCTAGCTTCTTCAGGAGCCAAGGGGAAATATTTATTTCTGGCAGGGACGTGGGGCTGGGAGGGGGCTCAGGAAAGAAAGGGAGATTTGCATTCCAGTATATGCTCCTTGGAAGCTGTCGAATGTGGTCTCGTGTGCCTGCGTCTGGAAAGTTAACACGAAGCGTAACGCGGGGAATGATGGCGAGCAGGTGGATGGTGGCGTGACAGGTGGAGCGGGCGCTGCGAGAGCGCGCGGGTCCCATGGCCCAAGAGTGTAGCACAGCGTCTCCGTGCACGTGTCAAATGTCGCGACTTGCAAGAAGCCGTGGGCTGCTGTGTGTTTGCTTTGCTAGGCGGGAGCAGTCATAAAAGGACTTCATTTTCAGCCGAAGCCCAGTTACCCTCGTCTGTGTAGTTTATTCCAAAGTGGAACAACTTGGCATGGCAAGAATTTCGACACTATGAAGACCGAACCAAGTACTCTGCCAGTTAAATCGAGTGTCACCGTCCAGCTCTGGACGGCCGTGTCATAAGAATCAGGAAGTTAGTGAGATGTTAAAAATTTAAAGGTAGGGAGAAGGGTAAAAGTGGCGGCCATTTTTTTGGCAGGATGCTTCCACTCAGATCTATTGACATAAAGCAAAGATTGACATAATGTTCTTTAGATTTCCTGATACAAATCTATCAGCCAGAGCTTTTCTCATACCAGCAAGTTACCGCTGTCAGCCAATCACAAGTGATTTCGGCGATTAAAGAAATTTAGATCTCTGCAGTGGGGCGTGGGGAGAGACGGGGGTGGCATCTGGAGCAGGTGACATGTCGGAGCGTGTTCGCTTTGGAGTTTAGCTTCCACACTCCTCCCTGCTGCCTGCTTGTGGTCTGACTCAGGTCGGTCGGCCCTCTTCCAGCTTCTGCAGAGAACTTTTCCCAGCGTGGCGAAGGCATGCTTTTATCCTTTAGGCCTGCCAGTCCGTAGCTTGCCTTGACATTAGTATTGTCCTTAACCTGGAGGAGCTCTAGGCCGGGGTGGCCGAACCGTGACAGGGCCCTTGGGAACCTGTGGGAATGAAAATCCTAATTTGTTCGTTATTTGTTCTCCGGACTTGGTGGTTTTTCTCTTCGTGTTCTTTTCAGTATGAGTTTCTCAAATAATAACACGTTTATAGCATGAGGAAAATTTCTTTTCATTTTGCAGCTTGTTTGCTTTTAGTTCTGTTCTGGACACCGTGTTACTTAGACCCAAAGAAAAGAATGATGTAGAATATTATAGTGAAACTCAAGAGCTACTGAGGACAGAAATTGTGAATCCTCTGAGAATGTAAGTAGAAGATGTATAGTTATTTTTCTTTTACATGGTGTCCTATATACTGTTTTGTTTTTTTTTTTGTAGAGTAATTAATTTATGTCCTGCTTTCATTTAGTAAGAAATGGGCAAAAATTAGTTCTCTTGATGAAGTTTTAACCATTTTTTAAACTTTTGGTCTGTGTACTGCCTTTACTTATTTAATTTCTTAAATCTGGCCATGGTATATAGCACATAATGTATGAAGTGATGGAACCATTTTGGTAGAGTATACTATAATTTAGCAAGTACAGTAGATTTAGACAAAATCATGCAGTGTAAAGCATTTGGGATTCCTGTCTTCTGAAGCAGTTTATTCCAACAGTGCCCCAACAACAGTCAGGCTTATTAGTTCAATTGGCGTGGCCCAGCTTATTAAGCTTAATTTTACTTGAAAGAAAAGGAGCGAGGGAAAATTTTTATTCATGGAGTAGCTGGTATTTATTAGTTCTGTATTAGAAAGAGATGAAGTGTATTTTATTAACACATCTTGGTTAAAGGAATATGTTTAGGCCCCGTTTCACTTCCCTTAAAAAAAAAGTGATGTTTTTGCTCATTCCCTAGCTTAAGAATTATAAATATGCCTTTCTCTGGGGACAGGAAGCAGTTTGTAAGAGTTCAAGCACAAGCGACGAGACGTCTAGTAAAGACCTGTGATAAGTGGCAGAGGAATATATGATCCTGTCACATTATAAAATTTAAATTATGAAGAGTTAGGGCCATAGATCATAAAACAGATTTGTTTATTTAGGAACATAGGGAGAAAACTATATAATTTAAAGTTCATATTAAACTAAATTTAAATTTTGTGCCATATGTTTCTTATTTAACAATTAAAATGAAAAAGTAGTTTGATACAAGATCTTGACCAAAAAAATGCAAAGTACTGAAATATAGTGAGCATTCAGATGACCTACTGTATAACCTGACTAGGAAAGTAAATTGTAAGTGAATAAATTTTCCACTTACATCTTTTGTTTCCCTAAATTCTGTAATGATGAAAACGTCTGTAGTTTTTACCCCTTAAGATAATCACGAGTCTCGATTTTTGCATCAATTATTTTGTATTATTTGTATAAATGCAAAGTTTTAAACGGCACCGTTTTTTCCCTCAAGTGATTGACACTAGAACAAGACAGATCCAGTCCGAAACCGCGTCCTTTCCTTCCCAAACCCCGTCGCACATTAATAAACATTCTTTGGATTCTACGTCCAACCAGTTCGGAGTCCTGGTTAGCCCGACTTTGTCACCCTGTCCACAGACATCCTGTCGCGATCAGGATTCTGTGTGTCTGCAGCGTCCCTGTGTCGTGGAACCTGTTTTTTCACTATATTCATTTTTTTTTTTTTGTATTCTCAGTGGCTAAAAGCTTAGATTTCTATGGAAGTGGTAGGTACGCAGTACGTGTTGGCTGCAGAGTTAACGAGTGAGTGAACAGTCAGCACAAACAGCGGCTGTGAAACAAGCTAGTTCTCAGCGCACTATTAAGTCTACGGTGGCCTCTCCCGTCTCTTCCGAAGCCATTGTTAGAATCAAAGTTTTGTCACGGATTGACATTAAACGTGTTGAACGTGTCCTGCATTCAGACAAAGATGAGAGAAAATGTCGTAATTATGATGATTAGTTTGATCGCAGATTTTAGATTTTTCTTCCCCTTTCATCTTTTAGTATTGAAAGGGCTCCCCCTCCACATAGTATATTCCGTTTTACAGTTAGTTTTAACTCCTTAAGCAAATAGTATTAAAAAACCAGTCGTCATAAATTGAAAACATTTTTTCTTGTATTAGTGTGTGATCATTATTTTTAGGGTATAATAGTGTCTGGGATAACTCCGCTTCTAGATTTTTAATTTTTCAAACCTCAAGAAGAAGCCCATAATTGTATTCTTCAAAAAACTATCTAACCTATCGATTTATGATATGCTAGAATTATATAAGAAATGTGTGATTGTCAAAATATATTAATGTATATGCCAGTATTAATATTTTTTTACTAACATAGATATGGATATGTGTGTGCAACAAAGATTATGAAACTGAGAAAAATACTTGAAAAAGTTGAGGCCGCATCAGGATTTACTTCTGAAGAAAAAGGTGACTGTCTTAACATATAGGACATGCATCAAACATAATTTGAAAGCATATTCTAACTTATTGACTGAAATGTGTGTCTGTGTAGTTTTATTAATAAATAGAAATTTCTGTGTGGTTTCTAATTTTCTCCCTTTTAAAAATGTTTCCTCTGTTTTAAAAGTGAGTGGCGCTGTGGGATAGTGAACTCCTTCGAGAAATTGGCTGGTTGTACTGTGTTAAATGAATAAAAAAGGTTATTTCCTTACTGTCCATTAGTGATATTCAGACATGGGTGAAGGGTGACCGCGTTGGGTCATCCACATTGTCCCACGTGGCTTTCCTTGTTACAGAGGGAGCTACAAAGTGGCCCGCTAGGATTAAGGTCAGAGTCAGCGTTTCAATCTGTTCGTAGCTAATGGATTTACTCAGATGCAGCTCTTGACTTTGAATGGGTGAGCAGCCTGTCGTAACCAGCTGTAACGTTTGGAGTCTTGGTAAATATTTAAATATCAAGAGAAGACAAGGTCATACTTCAGATTTTATTCCACTTGTCTTAAGCCTCACCCCCCCCCAAGTTTAAATTATTTCACTTTATGTGACTTATTAAACCTTTTCAAATGCATTAAAATTATAACAAAATCAGAATATAATGCTTTATCATATCCTTTATATTTTTCATTAGAAAAACTGGAGAACTATGCTTTTAATTGAAATGATATTGATTATGAAATCGAATTCAATATAAGAATATGACTGTTATAAATTATAAAACAGAATGATTTGAAAGTTTTGTCTGTCACTTATTTGATTTTTTATTTTCTCCTAGATCCTGAAGAATTCTTGAATATTTTGTTTCATCATATTTTAAGGGTAGAACCATTATTAAAAATAAGGTAACTTTTAAATTGTTACAGAAACATTGGAAAAACAACAGCCCTCATTTCATCATTCAGAAATGATTTCTTCAGTGATTACTTAATACTGTTTTTGTGTAGGGGTCTTAATATGCTAGGTTCCTACCATGCAAATTAATTTTAATCACTGTCTTCTCCAGAGTATCATACTTAACTTGAAGGATGAATCCAGTATAAATTTGTGCTTTTAATTTTAACCCGAGTGATAAATATCATTGCAAATCAGTTTCTTATGAAACGGTTTATAAATATTTTTGTATTTTTGTGATTTAAATTAATGAACCCTTTTAAGAGGAGCTTATTCTAACCTAATCAAACACAGTGAGAACACTGATTTTGACTACCCATCACTCAAAGAATTAATTTAGCCTTAAATTGGCTCTTGTATTCCCAGCTTTATAACTTGGTCTTTTTTCCTCCATCTGAAATGAAAGCCTTGAATCTAATGCAGTAAAGTTCTTACTGAGTTATTCCAAATGGATGAATTTTCCAGATGGTTCGAATGCTGGACCTTTGTACATTTTAGTCTGGGTGTCTCTGTTTAAAATCTCGCTGATGTATCATTTACTTCCCTAAAAGCTAATCACAGACAAGTACTCTTACCTCTGTGTCTTCAGTGATGGTTTTGATGGTGGATTAAAAGAAGGGATGATGTACCCACAGTTATATTTTGATGTTATTTTGGATGTTCTAACTAATGAAATAAGGCAGGATACATAAACATCAAGAGTTCATATTTATTATCTATTCAAAGATGCTATAGCTGTGAGTATACCTAGAAAATCCTAGAGAATTGTTTAGAAACTGCTAGTATTACCAAAAGAATTTATAATTTGACCATGTAGGAAAAAATTATGGAGAAATCAACAGTATTTCTGTATATCCTCTAGCAAATGAAAAAGAGATATAGTTTCATATTTCATGAAGATATAAATTGCCAAGAAGTCAATTCTATCGAGATAAGTTTTTTAAAAGATTTGCATTGAGCTGGAAGGTGATTTGATTAATTAGTGAGAAAGTTTGTGTTCCAGGTAGGAAGGTTAAGTAACTTAAAGATATTAATTTTTTTAAATAAAATAATTCGCATATAAGCAAGATCTGAACTCTGTAAGTGATTTTAGTGTTCTCTTCTAGGTGAAATGGGCGAAAAATTTGAAGTTTTATTTTTTTTTTAAAGAATTCTATTTGAAGCTATAGAGGCAAAGCGGTCGACTTTTAAAACAGTGTGATACTGGTATAAAATTAGAAATACAGGTCAATAGACCTGAATGGAAAGCTCAGAAATAGAATTGACTGTATGTACTATTTCAATCTCTTGCAAGTCAGCTTTCAGATGGAAATAGGAGGGAAAGACATGTTTACTAAATGATGTAGGAAATCTAGCAGGCAATTTGCGAGGAAAAGTCACTTTTGTTTCTCATCTTCAAGAGATAAATTCCAGATGATTAAAACAGTCGTCATTCTTTCTTGCCTGGCCCAACACCCCTGGGGATGTCATTCGGGCCCAGTGATAACACAGGATGAATAGTGCAGTGATCCTCCGAGGGCGTTAGGAGGGACCAGACACAGATGGGAACACATCGCGGGTGTCTGAAGGCCTCGTAGCTTTGAAAGGGCCTTGGGCACTTCAAACACCCCTCCCCTTCAGCAACATCTTCATACTGAGAATCGCTGGTTTAAAGATTATAAAAAGATATAAGATGATGCTTTGAAAGTTAGCCCTTTTCCCCCGAGTGTTATTATTCCCTTCCAAGAGCCTTTCTTTCCGAGGGAGCCTCAGCTGATGCAACAGATAGGATGAGCACCTTCGAAGAGACTGTAGACTATTCTTAAATGATGGAAGAGACAAAAGAAGGACTTAGATACCTATGAAGGATAAATGCAGATTTGATAACAAACAAAATCCAATAAACAAAAATGGAATTCCCAGAAATAGAATACAAAAGTAATGTCTGTATCTCCATGTGTGATAGATACATGGTTGGGCGGGGTCACCTCCCTGGCTGCAGCATGTACAGCTGAAGAGAGAGTTGCTTATTTGGAAAGCAGATCTGAAGAAATTACCCAGAATGTAGCTCAAAGGGATAAAGGGTTGTCGCCCCCTTCTGTCCCAGTATCACGGGCCGTTTGTCTGGCATTCCCATTTCTGGGTCTCCTCTCTCTCCCCGTGTTTGCTCCTTGGTGCTCCCTTCACCCCGCCCCCCGTCCCCATCACCGTTATTATTTCTAATCGCTACTGACCTCTACTACTTTCTGCTTTCTTAGTTTCCTGTCTTATTTTTTTTTCTGTTACCTATTAATTTTTTAAATGCCTTTTGGCTTTCACAGAAAAATGCTTGCCTTTTGTAGTCATCAGCGACCCATTAAAATATCGATATAGCAGATAACCTTCAAATTTTTTGGTTATCGTTTCTATTTGTTGTAGGTTCTCAAAAATGTGCTGTGTTACTGAATAAATTTTGTTTACTTCAGAGTCTAAGTCGCTTTGGGAAGCGAGGGTTTCTGAAGGTTGGTCTCTAAATAGCTGAGGTTTTATGATGAAAACTATGTTAATATTTTTCCCTAAAAATCTTGAAATCTAGATAATAAATCTAGATATAAACAGTCTGACTCTATACCCAGAAATTCTGCTAAAAAGGTAAATAGTAAATTTAAAGATGATTAATTCTTCGATAGTTAGCCTTAAAGATTAATGCGTTCTATAGTAAAATAGTGAGAATCGTCCGCGGTAAGGACAGCAGCGTGATCAGCACGTCGTGGGCACTCATGTGGCATTTGTCGAATAAATGGGTGACCGCACAGAGACAGCACGTGTGGTGGAGAGGACAGCGGGTGGCGGTTGGGACAGCTGGGTCCTGCACCCTCTGCTTTTGACTTGCTGGGAAGTGATGGTCCCGCCCTAGATCTCTGGCCCTTCGTTTTAGAAATGAAGAGTTTGGTCTCAATGGTCTGTAAGGGTGTGTCTCATTCAGCCATATAAGAACTTACTTTCCTGTTTCAGGTGTTAGATGCGCTTTGCTGCTTTCTAGATTTGAACAGTTAAGTTGAACAAGTGACTCGAGCTTCTGGTTATTACACAGTGCTTCTCGATTGCAGTGTTACTTATTCCATTATTTTTATCCTGATCGCTGAATTTTTCAGTATGAAAACTAAAGCAAGAAATCGTTTTTAAGGTCTCATGCACAAGGACATTTCATTGTTTTATCTAAATTATTGTCTGTCGCTCTGACTGTATAAAGTTGCAGCTTCAATTTCATGGGTTTTTTTCTATTCTCAAGTACTTTTGGAACAAGTCCACATTTTGATCTAGGTATTTCAGGAATAAATTATATGTGTGTGTGTGTGTGTTTGTTTGTTTGTTTGTTTTGCATGTTTTTTAGATCAGCAGGTCAAAAAGTACAAGATTGTTACTTCTATCAAATTTTTATGGAAAAAAATGAGAAAGTTGGAGTTCCTACCATTCAGCAGTTGTTAGAATGGTCTTTTATCAACAGTAACCTGAAATTTGCAGAGGTTAGTGATAATTACTTATTATATTTTACATGAAAGTTCTTAGGATTCTTACAACTACTGGTAGATCCAATAACTATTATTTTTAACCCACTGAGCAGTTAGAAAAATAAGCTGTTAACAAAACATAAAATTCTTTTAAAAAGCACAGTGTTTCAACTTTGTCCTTGTAGAAAATGTCTTAGAATTAAGATCAAACTTTGTAGATTTTTGGTGCCAAAGAAAATATCAAGCTAATTTGTAACTTGAAAACTTGTAAGTAGTTTCAAGCAAAGATTTATGTTTTTTTTTAAAGTTATTTTACCAATTTAACATTTCACTCAATTCAGATTTTACCCAAGCGTATTACTCAAATATTAAAAAAAAGTTTACTTTTCCTCCTTCAGTAAGAGACCAAATAAATTCACTTATATTGGTATCGTTAATGAACAAGTAATGTAAATTATCTTTCCTTCACTTTATTGAGATTCTTCATGATCTTGGTCGTCCATGTTTGTGGTTTATCTTTATTGTATTCATTTTAGGAATGTTCTGGTAAAACCTTAACAGTGACAGTTATTTATTTGCGAATATAAGGAATAGGGTACTTCAGCGATGGCAGTTTTTAAATTATATTTGCAAAAACAATTTTCCCAAAACATTTATTAAATTTAAACCTAAAGTAGAATGTCACTCTAGATAGTCGTCATATTCTGAGACCCAAGGGTGTTGACCTGCCTGACCTCTGGGTGCCCGTGCGTCCCTGGGGTCTTGGATACCTGGAGTCGTGGCTCGTTGGTGCTCAGCCTTCACCTTGCACGTTCACACGTGGGTCCTGTGTTACAGGCCGTCAGTGTTACGGCGAAACTACTGCCTGGTTTGAGAACCGTGTCTGTTTTCAGTTTCTTAGGGCCAAGTTTTGTTCAGCACTTCGATTCTGAAAATATACATCTTTTCTTTTTAGGCACCGTCATGTCTGATTATTCAGATGCCTCGGTTTGGAAAAGACTTTAAACTATTTAAAAAAATTTTTCCTTCTCTGGAATTAAATATAACAGATTTACTTGAAGACAGTAAGTATGAGGTTTTTTAGTTCGTTCTGTTCTTCAGGAGTAGGCCGTCAGGGCATGCTCCATAATTGTGGACGAGTGTCTAACAGGACACAAGTCTCCTAAAAGGCAGTTCGGCATCTGGGAGGAGCCTGGGAGCATTAAGCTAGTAATTCCTGTTCTAGGAATTTATTCTCAGAAAATAATCAGACACACAGATAACTATCTTATATGCAAATGTTTATTGTTGCATGATTAAGAAATTAGAAACAATCTGTATTAACAAGAGGGGAGTGGTTAGGTGAATTATGGTCTGTCAAAGGATTACTGCCATGAAGATCCATGTTTTTGACACCAACACGTGTAAACGGGGTCATTGTGTAACGTTAGGATACTTCGGACAGCAGGAGCCACAAACACGCATGCGCGCACGCAGCTCTGTAAATGTGCAGACGTGACATAATGGGGGAGATTCGTGATAGCACTGGCAGTGGTTTTCTATGGCTAACTAAACCTGCGGGTGCTTTGGCTTTTCTTCTTTATACTGTCGTCTTTCTTTGAATTTTCATCAGTAGACGTTTTATAATTGAGAGAAAACAGCCTGGAATATAGTAATTACAAAATTTGCCATCTAGTCAGAGAAAATGTCTTTAAAGGTATGCCGAATTCAAGGAAATCCGGTTTAAAGTCACGGGGTGGGGCGGGGAGACGTTATTTAGTCCACGAGCATTATCTTTAAAGCTTAACTTTTTACTCTTGTTAATGAAAGAAAGCCCCTCTTTCAAGTTTCCTTAACACGCCTCTCCCTCCCGCCGCCCCAGCCCCTCGGCAGTGCCGGATCTGCGGCGGGCTGGCCATGTACGAGTGTCGAGAATGCTATGATGACGGCGACATCGCCGCCGGCAAGATCAAGCAGTTTTGCAAAACCTGCAACACTCAAGTAAGTTTGGCCTCACTCACGGACGTTCCCTCGCTAAAGTACTTGCGACGAAAACAGGTGTCAGGTTTCGAATAGTTTTCGAACTCATAATTCACTCCTGGAAATGCACAAGGGAGCGGTGTCGTTTCGGCGTCTCCCGGGCCTGTGGTTGACACGGTGACCTCGGCGCCCCGGGCGACGGGCCTGGCCGCCGTTAGGGGGCGCGCTCCGTGCACGCGCACGGCGGCTTTGGCTCAGTCCGGTTCCGTTTCAGGTCCACCTGCATCCCAAGAGACTGAATCACAAATATAACCCAGTGTCACTGCCCAAAGACCTGCCGGACCGGGACTGGCGGCACGGCTGCGTCCCCTGCCAGAAGATGGAGCTGTTCGCCGTGCTCTGCATAGAAACGAGCCA